TAAATCTTCCTTAGGCACAGTTTGTGGTAACTTACTCGGAGCGGCAGCGTTTTGAAAACGTCGTCTCCTTGTTTGTTAATTGCGTTCGCACCGGCGTTAGCCTCCCGCACTGTCCGAGCCCCGCGTCCTGCGTTAGCCATCCGCGTGGCCCTAGGAATTCTGGAGGTGCCCTCGATCTCCCTTGCCTCCCCCCTTGCTGGTTTCCTTTCTGGTTCGTCGCCCTAGAGGAGATCGAACCTTTTTCCTTTCCAAATTTTATTTCCTAATCATCAGGTATCCTTTTGATTACCCTAACCGTGAGCCTTGGAATGCTTTCTTTACTCCGATCTTCTTTCTGAGCATTGTTGATGCTGGAAATGAAAAATTTTATTTTTTTCGGGGGAAATATGATGACATTAAGGGTTTTTAGGTATTGCCCAGTTTAGATCTATGGCATGAGTTGTTTTGGGATCTTGTGGCTTCTGGCATTTTCTCTGATTTTTGGGTTTTATGCCTGTTGAGATATGTTTCATTTTCTATGCCCCGATATTTTGGCATTTTAACTGCTTGTTGGATTTGAGTTGCTAGCTGCGATTTTGGAAACCTTCCTTTTCGCTAATCCTTTTTTCTGAGATGTGTAGATACAAAAACCATTTTTTTTTTATTTTGTCCCCGAAACATGAGTCCATGAAAGTTTTTACGCTATAGGCCAATTGAGATATGTGGCATTCGTTGTTTGATGGGAGGTATGGCTCTGGTTATAGGCATCTGTTTTGTTGCATGATATTGTGGCATTTTTTCTGGTTTTGGCTCTGTTTGTTTGATGGGAGGTATCGACTCCAATTCTAAGCAAATTGATGAAGTTATATAATTGTTTAGCTGTTGTTTGTGTGGTGGAAATTTGCAGAAATTTCTGTTATGCAGTAATTTGAACCAACCAATTGTTGATTTGGTTATACAATGAAGATTATGGCTTGGTTCATGAAAATACATTACAAAATTGTTTATTCTTCTATGAAAGCATACTGTAATTGGAATGAAACATATATTTAACTCGTCATTGAGAGGATTCCATACTTTTATCTTGCGTTTTATGTTAAGAACGACAGGGTTTAGGATTCATATGCATATGCTTATACAAGAAAATGCAATGTTTGTTTTTATATGAGCCAATGGTTATATCATTTGGGAGTTACCTATTTTTGGTTTAGGGATCATATGCATATGCTAGGTTTTGTTTTTCATATTATTAGATGCAAGAATGGTATTTTCATATTAAGTTCCAGCCACCTTCACTCAAAATTCTACAATTGAATTTTTTTTGGATCAATTATAACTTTGATGCCTATATCAAGAGGTATTAGATTGGTGCTAAAATTGGTGGCAAATCCTTTGAAAGTTGAGTAAATGTTATTATTTGGAGACCGTTGTTGTTGTTGGCCTGAGATTCATAATGATGAGCACTGTGAATGTGCTGGTGCAATTATTTCTTCAACAATTCTATTGAGATTCAAATTTAAAAAGTAAAAAGTTTTTATTTTTATTCTCACTTATTGCCTATAGTTAGATCATGTCTAAAGAGGTTGAATGGGGCCCGTTTGCAATGAGGATAAAGAAGTAACACATATTTTTTTGCGATCTGTGTATTAAAGAAATAGAACTGGGGAACAGACCAACAACGTATTTTAATAAAGAAGGGTGACAAAACATTACTAAGATATTCAAAGAATTGACTGACACAGATTACGACCGGCTTAAATTTAAAAAAAAGTGGGAACAATTGAAGAAGGGGTGGAAAATATGGAAGGAGTTGGAACGTGGATCTACCGGTCTGGGTTGGGATCCGATTAAAAGGACAATTGATGCTCCAGCTAAATGGTGGGCTGAAAATTAGAAGTGATTTTCTATCTAATCCATGAATTGTTAGTTTCGCAAATTGTTTTCTCTAATTATAATTTCCTAAATATTCCCTCTAAATGCTATATCACAGGCAGTACTGACAACGAAGATGTATAAACAGTGCATAATTGAGCCAAAATTTGAAGAAAAACTGGACGTAATATTTAAATGGATTGTCGCAACGGGAAAGTTTTCATGCAACGAGAAAGTTTTCATTCAACCCTACCGAAAGCGGTTTTACAGAGATACCAGATGAGATCACACCTGAGCCACTGACACCCGATGAAGAAGTGCATAGCATTAATCAGAGGGATATGAGGGAGTCCAGTACAATTTTAAAGAGGCCAATGATTGCTAACAAAAGAGAAGGAACATTTTGTAAAAATCTCCTTCGATCGTTTAATTGAAGCTTTTGCAGCTCCACCAATCTATAATTCTAACATATTAGACTATCTCAGGCTTTTGAGTTCTATTCCTGAAATTGTGGCTGACAAGCAATTTCACGCACAGTGTGTGAAAAAACTTGAGGATTCAACTCAAATGAAAATATTCACGACGCTAGAGCCTGAATTGTGTCTCGAATATTTGCGGGTTTTGATCGATGAATGATATTTTTTGATTCATTGTATATGTATTTGTTGTAGTAATATGAACTTCTACTTATGTCATTTTTTTTTAAATGTTTGGAACTTATAATCATGTTATCTTTTTTTAATATGTTTGTACCTTCTACATATGTATATGTTAGTAGTTGAAGCTTTATTTATAAGTTGCATATTATATGTTCTGAATTTGAACAATTAATATTTGGTAGTGCTGTAGCAATATCTTATTATGCACTAATTATGTTTACATCTTATATCATTTAGGATGGATCCGCAGCGTGAGCATCGTAAGAGAATGACATTTGCTATAGCCATTACAATATTGTTGTTGGATTATTACCGGAATAGCACTGCTCGCATTCCCCGCATGATATCCAGCTTTGTTTATCCAGCTTGATATCCAGCTTTGTTGGAGATAAATGGGTTGGTGAAATGCTTTCTGGCCATCCAATAAGGTTCATAAATATTTTCAAAATGACAACACCTATTTTTATGGATCTTCTGCACGAGTTATGCCTAAATCACAGCCTCCAGGGTTCTTCTAGAACGACATGTAGGGAGGTGTTGGCTATAACACTATACATTCTGTCACAAAATGAATCAATTAGAGGAGCTATGGAAAGATTTCAGCATCCATTTGAAATAATTAGTCGTTACTTTTTTAAAGGCATGCAAGCTCTTGTTAGCTTAGCAGCTGAAATAATTAAACCAGAGGATCCATCATTTGCTACCACTCCATAACAAATTGCGAACTATCCTCGATATATGTCATATTTCAAGGTAACTATGAGTAGTTTTCTTTTATTACATATCATACTTTCATAATATTATTACTCTCTAAGGAACAATAAAACATAATTGTATTGGTGCAATTGACGGTACCCATATTGATGCCCGACTACCCAACCACGAGAAGGTTGCATGCATCGATCGTAGTGGTTCAACAACTCAGAATGTCATGGTTGTATGCGACTTCAACTTGTGTTTTACTTTTGTAGTAGAGGGCTGGGAAGGAAGTGCACATGACCGTCAATTTTTTTCCTTTGCCACTATAAATAGATCGTAGTGTCTCCCTCACCCCCCATCAGGTTAGTTTTGATTTGTAATTTGTATATCTGAGCAGGTAATATTTTTAATTAACAGTGTTTTTCGTACCAGAAAAATATTATCTGGTTGATGTCAAATATCTAATGCAAAGGGGATACCTGAAGCCCTATCCTGACATAAGATATCATCTTCCTGATTTGGAGAGAGCAAGTGGCACCATCCGTGGCAGAAAAAAAATGTTTAATAAACACCACTCATATTTACGCGGGGTAATTGAAAGAACATTTGGGGTTTGGAAGAAGAAATGGGTCATCCTACGTGATATGTCGTCGTATCCTTTCCAAAAGCAGGTGTGTATTGTGGTTGCAACAATGACACTACATAACTTCATCCGAAGACATTCCTCACTATCAGATACAAAATTTAGTATGACTGACAATGATAAACAGAATGTCTTCGAGCAAACTCCAGGAATTGTGGGTCGGCATTCATTACCTGAGGATGATATAGACTCTAATGAATTTGAAGATCATGATGGTGAAGGTTTGGCTGATATGATTGCTTTAAGGGAATCAATCACAAATGTTATCTGTGGCTGCTGATCTACCAAATTTTTCTTTAATAAGATTATAGGTTCATAATCATATTCTTTTAATTTTGATTTTTTTAAAATATCTTGAGCTGACATTTGGTTCTTTTATTTTTTTCGCAGTTATACCAACATGACTTCTAGGAAACCTCTGTTATTGTGGACTACCGTCTCCGTTGCTCATGTCACGTCAGTCTCATAGCTTTGGGAGGCAGTTCTACAGTTTTGTTAAGGGTGTTTCAGCTAGTTGCAGTTTCTTTCAGTGAGCTGGCAGTCTAGCAGTCATGAGAATCCGATGTTTTCCCAGGTTGATAGTGCAGATGAGGACAAACGTAGCCAGAGTTTCAAATAAAATATTTTAATATTTCTCATTGTAGTTGTACTTGTCTTTGTCATTTTTTTATTTCTTCTGGTACTCACGAGAGTGTGAGAACAGTATGTCATCTTTTGGAACTGATCTGTAATGATTATATGTTTCTGCACTATATGCTTCTGTACTACCAATAAGCTATTCTGAATAAACTGCCTCAAACAGTTTTATCAGACAATGACAGAAATGTCATTTAACCACCAATAAGCTAATATGAATAAGCTACCCCAAACAACAAGTCAGATTATTCTGATAATCTGCAGATTATCATATTATCAGAATAATAATCAACAGCTGCGCCAAACACCTTTAATTTCAAAAATTGATAGATAAATACACATTATCTCCTGACTTGGCGCTAACGATTATAGGATAATAATAATAATAATAATAATAAATCCATTCTTTGGTTTTTTTACATATTACACATTAAAATGTCTATATAAATCAAAATGCATCTGCACATTTGCATATAAAATACCTGCTGCTTTCAGGATTACAGTCCCAGCTCCTTTTTCTGCAAACGAACCACGCACACCAAAAGCCAACCGTATTCTCTGCCATTACCTGAGAACTTTGAACATTTGAGCAAAAGAACAAAATTGCCTCCAACAAAGCCCCTCTCTGAAATGGCAAACAGCTTCTTTTATGTCAAATAAAAAAACCATGCGTTCCTAGAGCATCTGAAGTTTACGCATGCAGGATCAGGTTAAGGCAGACTTGTGAAAAGTAAGGACGCATTGGTCCCACCAAAGCCGAAAGAGTTTGAGAGCGAAGTTCTGATGGGCATCTCTTTTGAGGCGGTTAGAGGGCTGAATGAACCATGAAAGGCTGGATCAGGCTTTTCAAGGTTTAATGTCAAAGGTGCAATCCCCTGCAAGCAGCACCAGAAAATTAGATAATGAATGCTAGTAAATCCCTTTAGTAAGGAATGAGGATAATCCAAGGGGTGTTTATCACACAAGTTTAGTAGAAGATTAAGGGCCTGTTCAACTGCAGTTGTTTCTTCAAACAGCTGTGAAACTATTCTAGAAGAAACTACTATTCAAAAAGCTGTGACGCTACAATATTTTTGTTTAAAAAAAAATTAGACTACGGCTTTCGAGCAGCCACCGCACTTGGCCAGGTCCAGTTGCAAAACACAGCTTTCAACTGCAGCTTTTTGAATAAACAATTAAAATGCAGTTTTATCAAATATAAAATAGTATTGTGCGGCACCACACCACTGCTCCAAACACACCCTAAGAAACCCCGACAATGATGGAATAATATAGGGAAGCTCAAACTCTTTAAAATAATCAAAGAGAAAGTATACATGATGGATGGCAAGAACCGAAAATATTGCTTCAACCGAACCAGCAGCTCCAAGAAGGTGGCCTGTAGCACCCTACAAAACATGTTAGAACTACATTAACAACGCGCAGTTGCAAAAGAGCTGAATCGCAACTCAAGGCTATCTATTTGTGCGTAGAACATAAAAATGCATTTTACCTTTGTGGAGGAGAATGCTAAAGCACCAGATGTTGCATGGTTGGAGAAGACATATTCCATTGATTTAGCCTCTACAGCATCACCTGTGGCAATTCAGGATTCATTCAATTTCAATGCTTTATCATGTAAGATTGAATCCAACAACTCAACTTTTTAAGGTCAAGGGAACAATACCAAGAGGAGTAGATGTAGCATGAGCATTTATGTAGTCCATATCAGTGGGAAGAAGTCCAGACTACATAAAGAAAAATAGCGTACAAGTTAATTGGCTAATTTGACATTTGACAGCATAGTATACCTGTTCTAGTGCACGTTCCATAGAAAGAATAGCTCCCCTTCCGTCACTATGAGGTTGAGTAATGTGATGAGCGTCACCTAAAGAAAAATGATTATACCTTATAATACCTTATAATACAATTTGATTGTAAATAAGATAAAAAAAATAAACGTTTAAACTGCAGAAAAAGGAGACCTGACATTCCATATCCTCGAATTTCTGCATAGATTTTAGCTCCTCTATGTATTGCATGATTGAGTTCCTGAATAAAGAATATGAAATTAGTTTAATTACTGAAAGCAAATAGTAAATTTGAATATTTGAGCTTACGGATGATGGATTTAAATGTTGCCATTAGCAATCAAATATGATTGAAAAGGCTAAAAGGAACAAAAGAATAGTCATAAAAGACCGAATTAGTAACATGGGCCAAGACTGATACCAGAGTTAACTAAAAAATAAGGAAAACACAACTTTTATTATAGAAAAACAAAGAGGAGGGAGGAAGGGGAAATTCAAAAGACACATAACAAAAACACCAAACAAGGGCTTGAATTGAAGGGGGTGGAAAGGCGGCGATGAGCTGGCTATGGTTGGTAGGGATAGGAGGTTGAGATGGGAGAGGCAGCAGCAAGGCATGCGAGCTGGCTGGTGATTGGACAGCGACAATGAAAGGAGATTACAGGCAGGGGTTGAACTGGAGACAGGGGAGCAGCATCAAAGACGAGGTGGGTCTGGCGGCAGGAGAGCAGCAGGCATGGAAGGTTGGTGGCAGGATAGTCCAGGAGGGTTATGACAGCCGGTTAGGTGGCTGGAATGAAGACGGGAAAAACAGAAAATGAAGATAAATACCACCTCAAGACGAGTTACACTTAAATCACCTTCTCACCTTTCGAATATAGCCTTATGAAGGAGAATTGGAGACGCCGACAGCTGTCTCGATAGAAAACACGAGAAAAACTGAAAACCTTTAACAGTGAAAACACAAATATAAGCCTCACATAACTATAATTGGGTTTCCCCTTATGGAAAGGAGTTACCAAAACATGGTGGAAGGGTTGATCAATCCTCCCAGGTCTAGACCGGTTTGGTCAATAAAGAAGCACAGGATATTTTCCGCGGCTCCCTGTTACACCAAAGCTCCCCCTATTACGCTTGCATCAGTCTCCCAAGATTGGGTCAACCTCATTCGTCGAAGCTTCTGAGTCCTCGTATTATAAAGTCAAGTCTATCAAGTTGAAGGTAGCAGAAATATTGTAATCCCTCGACAAACCAATCCTATTAGCATTGTCATTTAGCTTCTTGAGGATCATGAAAGGTCTGTCTCCCCTGGGCTTGAATTTCCAAAATGATTCCTTGGAGAATCTATTTCTTCAATTTGATCCACACACTAAATCTCCCTCCTGAAAGGTCACCTTACTTGCTTTATTAGCTTCTCGTGTACTTGTGATTCTATCTGGCGATCTCTTTCCTTTCCCTACCTAAGTGTGTAGCATCTGAAGCTCATGAACCCTCACCATGGCATCTACTAACTTCCAACGTAGGAAGAATCAGCTATTTCATCTATTAAACTGTGAGTTAATATAAAAAATTTAATTCACTTGTCCGATCATCCATTCCAGTCTTAGTTAATTCCAAATCCCAGGGCGGGTCGTGACAACAAAATGATATTTCAAGGTATGCACTCACCTTTGTCAAGGAAATTGAAGACCCAATTGAAACAGAGAACGGGTTAATGAGGATAAAGAAGTTATTAGATAGTATGGCGTGTCCGGATGAAAGAATAATTCCTTGAGCTACATTTGTGCTGGATGAAAAAAGCAAAAGGTGGTGGCGCGGGCAGCATCAAGACAAGCTAGAGGACATACCCTAATATGATGGTTAGTCGGGAGGAATTGGAGTTATTCAGAGAGTGGTTTATGCCCATATCCGCTCAAAGACAGATATAGGACAAATTCATCACGTTGAAGCAAGAAGAGAAGAAAGTCATACAGTATGAAACATGATTCACTGCACTGTCAAGGTATGTGTCATAGTTGATCGCCACCGCAGAAAAAAAGTGATATAGATTTCTTTTAGGATTAAAGGATTCAATTAGGAAGTCGTTTATACCTTTAGGGATCGATGAATACTCGATATTAGTGGAACGAACTAGAAGACTGGAGATCAATTATCAGCTTACTTAGAAGCGTAAGGAGGTGCACAAGAGAAAGAGTACTGATGAAGAAGAACATGTAGATCAATCCAATGGGAAGCAGTCTAAGGATAATTCAAGTGGAATTAGCAAAGGTACGACTCATGGAACAGTAATCACTCGTGCCAAACGTGGAAAACAACACAAAAGTGAATGTTTGATGGGCTTTAACACTTGTTATCGGTGTCGTCAACATGATCATATAACAAGATATTGTCCATCTCTTAGCCAGAAGAGAGCTGAAGATCAGAAATCAGGTAGTTCTTTCGTAGAAGATTGTTGGTGGTAGAAAAAAGAAAGAGTCTATAGCTTCAGCTCCTACCGAAGGTCAGCCAGGGCAACATGTTCAATCTGAAGTATATTTCCTTACTCATAGTGAGTCTGAAGAACAAGTTGTTGCTGATGGTGATGAGGTCTGATGAGTTTAACATTTTCTTATATATATATAATATATATATATATATATATAAACATATATATATAGGGTATTTTCCTACCATATTTTCTTGCTTCAGTATTGTTATCCAAAATATAGTTGAGTCACCATGTATCAAATCTTTACTCTCATAGTGATTATTTTTATCTTAATGAATGACCACTAGTTTTCATCATGAAATTTATGGATAGCTGATGTTGACGTACTTAATGAGATGGGAGTTGCAGTCAGTTTTTAAATTTCGAGGACGAAATTTTTATAAGTAGGGGAGATTGTAACGATCCAATTTCAGTTACCCGGAATGAGAATAAACGAAAAATCTAAGAAGAGGAAACAATGGGTCGGGCAACAGAAGAGGGAGGAAAGGAAGCGAAGGAGTTGGAAGCTGAAAAGGCAAGTTCACTCAATAAAATGTTGTATGGGGGAGGCAAGAACATACCAAGAGTTTTGATCATTGAGTGCAAGAGACGACAGTGAGCTAGAGTTTCCTTGCAGTTGAAGGCAGCTTCGATGGACGACAACATCCATGTCGAGAGGGAGGAAGAAGAGGGAGACGACGACACCGAGTGTTTGTTGTGCTGCGTTGAGCTGCGACTAGAGGCAGAGGTAGGGAGACGTGTGAAGCGGTTTCCGCATGTAGTGGAACAAAGCTCTCCCGTACATCGAAGGTTTGTGTCCTTGCTACCATATGAAGAAGGAAGTAGGTTGCGTTCACGCCTGTGCAGTAGGGAGCTAATTGAAGGAGAAAAAAGTGCCCTACTGCTATGAAGGTAGAAGGGTTCGCATGGACAAGAGCTCAACCAAATAGGTAATGTTTGTTTAATTGATTTAATAATAAAACTAAATATAAATATATAAATATATTGAATAGAAAATTAATCAGGCTTACATAAAGTAAAATATAAAAATTTTATACATGAATAACTAAGTTAAGAATTAATAAAAATAGGAAGTTATTTAAAGTTTGGTAATATAAATATCATTTTTTTATTAGGTATTCAATTTAGAAGAGTTGACATCAAAAGAAACCAAAAAACAAATTAAACGACATCGATTTGAGTATTCGTATTCTTCTGCTATATTAATATTTTGTTTCTTCTATACCAAATGCATTTGTTGTTACTATTATAGTACTCCATACACATGATTTATGGTTATAATGATTTTTTTTCTTATTATAAGAATTACCTGTATGCTCAACTTGTTTAATTCATCATTGAATCAGGCATAAGAATATTGACTGATATGTGACTTATAATGAAATATTCATTATTATAAAGTAATATTTTTATAGTGTGATTGTATGTGCATTTTTGGATATGATGAAGTCACCTATTTATGGTACTAGTGTGAGAACACTAAGATAGCAGTGCATGTAAATAGAGAAGATATGAATATTAAAGTACCTTAATTGGCACAATTTTTAGACGATGTTCTTGTGACAGTTGTACATATATAGAATGATATTAGTACGATATTTGATATAATAAGATTCATCAAAATAACATTTCAAATGATTATATTGATTTAGTAAAATAATCATTTGAGTAACAACTTGTATCTTCTCGACCAAATACATTTATCGTTGTTGTTATAGTACTGCATACTCACGATTTATACTTCTAATAAATATTTTCATATTGTAAGAATGACCACTGTGCTCAGCTTTGCTTAATTCATCATTGAATCATGTATAAGAATATTAACTACTAAGCAAATGATATTGAATATTCATTATTAGAAAGTAATATTTTTATATTATGCTTGTATATGCATGTTTGGCTATGATAGTGTTACCCCTTTATAATAATGGTGATAAACACTAAGGTACTCCTGCAAGAAATGAAAAAGGATTTTGATATTGAAGCATCTTAATTGATAAAATTTTTAAATGGTACTATTGTGATGATTGTATATATATAGAATGATATTAGTATGATATTGATATCGTAAGATTTATTAAATAACATCTCAAATTATTATATTGATTTAGTAAAAAAGTTTAACTAACAAGCATTTTACCATTTTTTTTTGTATTACTGTAATTTAGGAGTATGAGTATTCACTGGCTTGCTTAGTTCATTGTTATTTTAAATTAACTTTTCAGGTAAACTAAGAAATTAAAAGATGAGCGATAGAATAGAAAATATTATAGAAGACGTGGATAATCAGTTACAAAGTAAATTTAAATATACTGTTTTAAATTAATTTGATTAGTGGTTCTTTCATTTTATTAATAGTTTATTATGAAAACGGACATCAAAACTTTAATTCACACCGTCTAACCGTCTGTACCCATTTTGGTTTATAATATATATATATATCAGTGGGTGTTGTATGTTTATATGTATATTACTTAAAACTTATATATAGATTGATCCTTCATGAATAGTTCATAATTAAAGCTAAGTTAATTCCATTGACCTTTCTAGTAACATTTTACTATTACTTACCATTAATTTTCTAATAAATACTAAATTTATGATTAAATTATAAATTAAGCAGTCTTAATATTCAAGACCAAATTAGTACTAAAAAGCACTATTTATTTTAACTTCACAAGGAATAAATTCCATAGTATAAATTAACATTCCCGACTAATTAATTAATTATATTCCTAGAATGCAAGGCGAAAAATAACTCTTGAAATCATCTTGTATAAATCAATAAGCATAAGTTTATAAATATGAGTTTATTAATTACCTAGGAGAAAGATTATTCCCCATCTAATCATACTGATAATAAATTTTGAATATTCTATATTAACATAAAATAACACATTCAAATTAATCTTATTTCAGTTTATATAATCATAAATCTCGTCCTATATAATCATATTTTAGAAGTACTTTCATCCTAACAACTCACACAATGACAATCCAAATAAAATTGTGTCATTTAAAATGAAACTGAACCACTGTTAATTATTAAATTAAAGATCACAACTTTACTTCATTAATTATAAACATTTTCATCTTATTATCCTTAAGAGTTATCCTCTTCCATACGCTACAATATTCAAGATCACATTAATAATCAAATTTTAATGGCATTTATTAGTAACATCTAAATGAACATAAAAATTGAAATAAAAAACTATTTTATTTTATTAATCAAATATTAAAATCTAAGGCAAATTATTTCAAGACATAATCCTTAACGGATTGACCAATTGAGAAAATCAGGGTCAGATAATGCTTACGTTCACTGCTTCGGTTCTGCTAACAACCTTCTGGAAAATAAAAAGTTTGAGAAGGGAACTCTTTTTCATGTGTTAGTGCAAGCGCACAAGGATCACCTAGAAAATTAGTTAAATCATATACATCTAAAATAATTGATCCATCTGGTCTTAGCCTCAAATTTTCCTTTCCTGTGTCCCTCTCTCATCAAGGAATTAAAAAAATTAGCTTTTACGAAAGTAAATTCATATTAAATTTTAATTAAAGAAAATAAAATTCATTACCTATAACCATGACACCTTGATCAGCATCTCCATTAGCTTTATGCCAAAAATATGAGATCCGCTTATGAATCCCACGCCATTTAGGGGACTTAGACAACCTCTTTTGACTAACATTTTCATTGAATGCACAGTTTTTCTGAATAAAAATTTTGCAAAACTTTTGAACAAATTACATTTAACTAACAATTCCTTTTAATCTTTTGAACTCTCCCTAACTGCATGCACTACTCTCTTTCAAACGTTCAAAAATCATGTTTACTTTTTATGTTCCTTTTACAGGTTCTATTCTTAAAGACTTGAAATTCACATTTCTATCAGACCCTCTTAGTCATTATTTTGCTATTTTACTGCAATTTTTAAGATTTTTCATCAAATCTCATGATGCTTATTTACCAAAAAAGCTACCTACATGCCACAAGGCACATCTTTACGCAACTACAACAACAAGCCTCTATCCCACTAAGTGGGCTCTGCTACATGAATCTTTTTTCTCCATTGTGTGTCAAACTTTCATTTAATTCTTTAAAATATGACCAAATCTTTTTAAGTCTACCTTGGTCTTTCTCAACATAAGTCAAATCTAAAAGATGTACTCTCCTAACCGAATTATTAGATGGTCGACGTTTAACGTGACCACACAATCTAAGATAACTCTCTCTAATCGTGTATGACATTGGAGCTACACCAACCATTTCCCGGATAGATTTGTTTCGCATTGTCTCTACGTGTCAAGTCACATCTCTATGCAAACAGCAAAATATTCATTATAAAAATTATATATGCACTTATTTCCCTAATCATAGGCATAAAAAAAGAAAGCCCTTAAAATTTTTTTTAGTAAATCAATTAACATAGCTAGAAGATAAACTGATAACGTGTCACAAGAAGACTAGATTTCTTACACAGAAGGACCTAAATATGGATAAGGATATGGCATTCATAGTTAAAGTTGGATGATAAAATGGTGAAGAGTATTATATGATAAGAAAGTATTGAAAACCTAAGAGCAAATTTTATTAAAATAATATTAAACCAGTTATATTATATAGATTCAAGTGTTTGTGGAAAAATAGAAAGTTAGAACAGCCAGCATGAGTGTGACATAAATAAGAAAATTAGGATTGCCGCATTGTTAAATTATGAACTACAATGAGGAAATATTATATCAGCAAGATGATAGGAATAGCACCTAATTGAAGATGATATGGCACAAAAATTAATTTGGTCATTTGGTCATTTTGGGATAGATATCTTAATTTGGTCATTTTAGCACAAAAATATATATATCCCAAAATGACTAAATTAATTTTTGTGCCATATCATCTTCAATTAGGTTGTAGATGATGATGATGATGCATTAATAGGATGACTATATATAACTAATGTGAAAATTTTGTAAGGAAAAGGTGTAGAACAATATTAAAATGGTGAGAAGTTGTGAAAAATATATGCAAATAATATTAACAACTCATTAAGCACTCAGTCATAATAAATCTAAGAGGGTTCTGCAACAAAATCAAATTAATTGAAGTCTAATAATGAAGAGTAACATAATAACACAGATTCATAGAAGCGTAATCCATGCACAAATTAATGAGCTGCCACAACATCAGCAAAATTAGCAACAAATCAATTCATTCTCTGAATTTATTGCTTTGGGAATTATGCACGAGTACAAAAGAATTAGTACAGCAATACAAGAAAATTTTAACTTGGTGCATATCGTCTAAGGTTACTAAGAAGCATAAACTGTGAAATATTAGATTAACTTCAAGGCTTGTCTACTTCATCCATGCAATAGAATAAATACACAATCAATAACATTAAAAATAAGCATTATTCCAGAAATTATAAATTCATTCTTTCATACTAACCTCCAGTATCAAGATACCACAGCCCTCACCAATGCTGCATTAAGAAAGATGTCAGGTAGAAAATAAGATCAGATTAATAATAATAATAATAATAATAATAATAATAATAATAATAAAAGGACAGTATTAGAAAATTCCATACACAAATCCATCTCTACCACAATCAAATGGTCGTGAAGCAACTTCAGGAACAGAATTGTATTTTGTAGCCAACGCTCTTGATCTGAAAAAAAAAAACATCTAAGATAAGAATATGCCATCCTTTTATATGCTGACCTATACAAAATAATAAATTATATAATAAAAAGAAGGAATACTTCATGGTCATGTTCCATGCAAGATGTAAGTTATGGTTGTCTAAGGCAAACCCTACTTATGACTGAATTCTTATTCTTAAAAATAATTAAGGTATGAATCGAAAGTTTTATAAGTATCAATACACCAATAGAAAAACGTTTACTTTCCTCCTCGGAGCACTTATGTGGTAAATATTGATTGTATATCATTTTTGTGGGGGGTGGGGGGAGTTGAGGCGAGGAGTCGGGAACTAAAGAGGGGAGAGAAAGTGAGGAGTCGGGCTAGGGGTCAACATTCGATTGGTTTAAAATTAATCAAATCGATTACAACCGAAATCTATAATTCAAAACATCGAAACAATTTAGATTTTGATAAAATCGAACCGATTAAACCAAAATTTGATTCGATTTGAATGCTTAAGTTATGAAAAATTTAATTATTTATTATAATTTGGCTAAGAACAATCATTATAAATTACATAGCTTATCCACATAATATTCATTTGATTTCATGAAGCCTCTATTTATTTCATACAAACATTAAATATAGTAAAAAAAATTAGATTTTCTTTGTTATTTGGCTTAAAATTAAAATATAATAAAATTTTTTGAATAAAATATCGGTTCTTCAGTTTGTTCGATTAAATGAAAATTAAAACAAACTTAAAACCAAAGATTTAAGTTTTAGAAACCAAATATCAAAATTGAATTTTAAAACAAAACCGAACCATCCAAACTTGATCGATTCAGTTTGGTTTTCCTATTTTGACCAAGTAATGCACACCAGTAAGTCAGGCAGCCAAAAAGGGGGAAGATGAAGCGAGGATTATCGGGAAGCTAGGAAGGTGAACTGCGCCCAATAAATAATAGAACGACTTATCTGTTGAGTCGAGCAGCTTGCCTGTGGTGAAGGCAAGAGAGGGGATCTTATGTGTGTATAGAGGAGACATGGCTTGCATGCAAAGGAAGAAGAAGGTGGCGGTGTCGTCAAGGCAGCGGCAATGTTGAGCTGCAATTGTAAGAGTTGGAGACTTTGCGACTCTATAGAAGAGCTAAACACGTGTTAGAGGGGGGCCGAAGCAAGAGATCTCGAGCGCAGGAAGGAGGCTAAGCGAGTAGTGAGTCTGCCGCGTAAATTAGGGCTCCACCGAGGAAGGTAAGCCTTAAAATATTTTTGTAATTGATTTAATAATAAAACTTAATACTAAGATGCATATATATATATATATATATATATATATAAGAATTACATAAATAAATTTAATACTTAAATAATGAAAAGGTAATAGTTTATTAAAATAATAAATTAACAAATTAAATTTTATATCACATTAGTTTTAGGCATTCAAATTTTAGAAGAGTCGACGACAAGACAAATAAAATAACAAATTAATGGTCATCGAGGTGAGTACTCTTATTTTTAATCTATGGTAATATTGTTTTCTCTCCAATATTTTGCATTAGTAAATAATGATACTTGTACAAGCTTTATTTTAATTTACAAGCTTTATTTTGATTTATAAACTGCATTTTTATAGCAGTATATTAAATTAAATTTGATGAGCAAATGAATGAAATATTTATATTGACTGTTTGTATGTAAATGACTGACTATGATAGAGTCGCCCCTTGAAGGTACTAGTGGGGAAACAATAATGTACTCGAGGACGTAAATGGAAAAGATATTGATATTGAAGTACTTTAAGTGGTACAATTTTTATACGGTGCTATTGTGACAGTTGCTCGGATATATAATAATATTAATATATTATTAATATAGTAAGATTCTTTGAATAACATCAAATATTTATATTGATTTATTAAAAACTAACTAACATGTATATTGTTTTACTTTTTCCTTATATTTGTAATTTATGAGCATGAATATTCACTAACTTTGTTTAGACTTACTATTGTTTTAAATTAACATTTAATTTCTAATTAAGTGATTAAAAGATGAGCGAAGCAAGAAAAAATATTTATAGAAGATGCGGACAACTTATAACGAGGTAAATTTAAATAGATATAATCATAGATAAATGACACAAATCACTTAGCACCAGAGATACTAGGTATAGAGAGCCCCATTGATCATCATGAATAGCAAAATGGAATTTGGGTTCTTGTGTTATTTATTGAAATTTTAATATATTTGTCTTTTCACTACTCACAAACATCAAATAATATTGTTTAATATTAATTTTTTTAGAAAATTAAGGAAACATAATTTTGAGAATGATAAAGAATGAATGACCTAGATATCATAGTTGAAATCATATCCCTTCTTTATTGGATTTAAAAGTTTTAGAGAAAAAATAATATGCCAAATATTTTATAGTTTTCTTGATCATTGGATTCCTCGAGGTGATAGATCTCATCTCTTTCTTTTACAAGATCAATCATTTCTTGAAATGCACAATGTGAAGGCTAGAACACAAAAGTGTATCTTAAATCTATAATATGTTTTTGGATATATGATAAGTTGGTAAATAATATAAGTAAATCTAAACCATTTTGAAGTGTGAGAGAATCATTTTTAAGAATATCACTTTGACCAGCAACAACCATTATGGATCCATAAAAAATCTATATTTCTTTGTTGCTGAGACAAAAAATATATGAAATAAATTTATATTAATAATTGGTCATATTTCCATAATCAGAAGTTGAACAAGTGAAATTGTATGTCCCTAAGAATTTAAAAACATTCGAAAAGGAGGTAATACTTAATAATATAACCGAAAACGTAACAAGTGCAAGTCTTTTCTAGCAATACCAACAAATATTTCTACTTTTCTATTTTTTTTTCTTTGGAGGTCTATGTGTTGTCCTTGTTCCATGATGTTATGTTCTTCCAAATGCTCTCTCTCTCTCTCTCTCTCTCTATATATATATATATATATATATAAACACACACACACATATATATATAGACATGTATATACATACATATAAATGTAGATGTATATAGATATAGATGTATACAGTTATGTATAGATATGTATCTATATATATATATATATATATATATATATATA